CCCATACTAACCCACAAGCACAACACAGTGCAAGAGTGGAATTAATTAACAAAGGTCTATCATCCTCGTTCTCATTAGCGTCACTCTTCTTGCTGTTGTTCGCGTCAGTTGATTTCACAGGTCTACACAGGGAGTGTGAAAAGTAAAAGAAGAAGAAAAAAAAAGAGATTGAAACAAACACACATACACCAGTACAACAAATACTAACAGTGAGAGTGAGAGAAAGAAAAGCAACAACTGCACAGTAAGCAACAAAAAGAAATAACTCGCTTGTAGTGATAATATGTACCCTTAATAGAAGGAGAAAAAAGAAAACACATCCCACACAATACCCAAATAAGAGAGAGAGACACACACACACACAATACCCCATGGCTCTAGTTGATGTATATTAAATTGCTCCACACACACACATCTGTGTGTACTAGCAAGAGATGTATACCGTCAGTGAGCAGAACAGCCCAGTTTTCTACACACAACGGCAAAAGCAAGTAATGGAATTATTAGAAAAAGAAACACACACACAAAAGTAAGAAAAAGAAATTCCAATTAAAAGAGAAAGCTTGTAAACATATTATTAATTTATTCACCCATAGGGGATGTACGCAATTATGATTATGTTAGTTTAACCATTATTATTATTTGCCCTCAAGTGAGTCCCACCATTCAGTACACAGTAGCGGAGACCAACACAACCACAATCAGCAGTGGTGCTGCAGTGCGCATCCACACAGGATTGACACTGCTGTCAACATTGGGTCTGTTCTGTACATTGGAAGCGATGTTGCTGCTGATCTGTGTATCGGTTACGGGAACAGGAGATGGAGTGGTCGTTGGTGCTTCTGTGGTAGTGTTCTCGGTGCTTGACGGAGTAGTGGAAGTGGGTTCTTGTGATTCTGATGCGGCAGTTACATCATCAGTTGCAGGAGATTGCTGGGTAGCATTAGAGTTGCCAGCCGTACTATTGGTAGTGGTATTTGTTTCTTGTGAGCTTGTTGTGGTATTTTCAGACTGTGTTTGTGGGTTTGTTTGATTGGTATCAACCCCTTCAGTTGTGTGTTCCCCTTTAGTTGGATTTTCAGTTCTTTCTGATTCAAGTGTACCTTCTGGTGCACTGCGTGACTCTGCAGCTTTTGTAGGTGAAAGCTCTGGAGATGGGACAAGAGTTGACTCTTCTTTACTTTCTGCAGGCACCCCAGGGGAAACCACCACACTGTTATCTTGCCCAGGATGGTCCCCATCCGTTATGCCCACCCGCTGATTAGGTGTAAGTTCATGATTCTGTACGTGTTGTCCTTGCTGTTGTGTATGTGGTTCACGACGGTCAAC